TTGGGGGATTTTGGTTGTTGTTATTGTTGTTGTTGTTTTATTGTTATTTGTAGAACTTCTTAGGAAGTAAAGCAATACTTCCAGTTACCATGGGAAGCAGATCTATGAGTCAGCAGGGCCTTAGTTCAAGTACTGCTTGCTTAGAACACATCTTTTTGAAAGAATGGCAAGTTTGGCAGTTGATGTATTTTTTTTTAAGATGTATATTATTTAATCAGGGGTTTATAGATTGCTGTACTGAACATGGTTACTGAATTTCAGTTTCTTTCATGAAAATCTGTAGCACTTCCAGGCTGACTGCAGGAACAATGCCTTGCAATACAGCTTTTTATCCAGCCATTGCTGGGCACTCTAACTGAGAAGGAAAATGTTGGGGGCCAGTCAGGACTAGGAGCTCAGCTTTGCTTAAATAGGATAAAACTCTCTGAATATTTATTACTTGATTTAATTGATCACCAGACACCCACTTTCATCTGTGCTTTGAGCTGTCTCTCAAAGCACACTGATGAATGCTTTCATAGCCGATGGAAAGCACACACCCCAAAAAAATAGGTACTGGAAAGCACACATCCAAAAAACAAGTGCTCAGTGAAAAAGGGAGAAAAATTTGCGATAGGATGTGCTCTTTTTGCTCATGCTGCTGGAAGCTGGGAAGATGTTATTCATGTTCCAGCAGCTCACATTTCCTGTCTTTTTGGTCTAGAAGACAGGTCCAACTGAAGTTGTCATGCCAGCATTTGCATTGCAGTCAACCCTTGTCATTTCCACTTGTGCAGGTTTGCTACATCTCCTGTGCAAGTCCAGCATGCCAACTCCCATCTCTCCTTCCCACACACACTCACCCCTGCTATAATTAGCTTAACAGCTACAGGTTTTTTGACCCTAAATGTTCATTTGATCCCTGTCAGCACAAATGCAATAAATTAGACTGACTGCATGCAGCTCCACACTGGAATGAATAGTCCTTCCTGCACTTATAAGGAAAAACAGCATTTGGGGGAGCAGGAGGCCCCCAGCTAAAGAAAAGTACACACCACAATAATCCTAAACTGACCTTCCTTCTAACAGATTAGAGTATCATTTGGAGAAATGAGGAGCTGGTGTTCTTGCTGTGATTTAGACATCTCTTCTTTTTTAGAGTACACATTTGCTCTTCACAGGCTTTCCAGTTCTAGGTAGCAAAATTTGATTCTTGATATCTTTTTTTTATATCCCAGTTAAAAAAAGTTGAGACCAAGAAATAATCACCATGTTTAAAAGGAAGTTAATGTGGACTTTGTCTGTCTGCTCTGGGATCTAAGGACATATTCTCTGCAAGATCTGGAACCTTTGCCATCTGGCAAAATTACACAGGGAGTAGGCAAAACAGGGAGATTTTACATTTAATGTTTGTATCAAACTAGTTGCTACCATTTGCAAAAGGATGGTATTTTTAGTTTTTGAAAAGAAACCAAGCAAATAAAACTCCTACATTACAAATGGGTTGTGCCCAGTTGCAAAATGGTGAACATCTTCCTCTGCCTTCTAACAGTATTCACAGGATCAGTCAGTGATGCACAATTTCCAGTCAGAATTTTTCTGTTGTGGAGTTTAGTAGAAAGTGGCAAATTTTCCTAACCTAATTGTATCTTGGATGTGTTTCTCTCGTCAAAGACTTTAGTAGAGGACTGAGACACATATTTTACTCTATAATTAACATTTTTTTCCATGAAATTGTAAATACGTGGTTGTTTTCTGGAGATATATTGATTTAATTGATCACCAAGTCTTGTAGAGTACCATGGTATGTCTTTAAGACAATAATAATAATAAAATAATGGGGTGGGCAATAGCAAAATTCAGGAACTTTCTTCTTTCCACTCTTCCTTTCAGTATGGATAATCGTGATACAAATGGATTAAATGAATACTCCACTTTTCTCATTGAAATTGGCTTTTCCTCTCATATTTGACATAGCATTTATTTAAATTTTTCTTGAAAGTTATCATTGAAGTGAAGTCTTCTGTAGTAATTTGGGATAGCAATCTAGATGTAACAGTCTAGTCTGTGCCCTGTCCTTAAGATAGTAGGTATTGACTGCTTCCCTGAAATTTCCTTCCCTATTGTCCCATACTTGTTCTTACTTCTAAAATAGTATGCTCATTCTTTGAAGTGCAGGTACCTTTTCTAATGCATCTCTAGGGCACAATGTTAACAATAATATAAGACTTTTAATTGTAATTATAATTTGTATAGATATAAAAGTAAATTACTTGGAAAAGCATGAGTGAAAAAATTCTCAGTTAAGTACCAGCCTAGAAATTCCAGCAGAGTGTGCTGTAGGTTATCTGCTTAAATACATTTGAGAGTGAGGGAGTAGAAGCAGTGTTGGAAAGGCAGATGTTTCCCTGTGATCCAAAATGTGAAGTTCAGATAGTGAGGTAGAGCCTGTATGCATACATGCCTCAAAAAATTCTCAGGTGTTATTATTGATTGTTAAATTTGGTAGCTGTAGAACAATTTTATTTATTTGAAGCCATCACATTTTATTATTCAGCCTGAAATAATAGAATAAATGACATTTTACTTCTTTATTCAAGGTTACCCTGTTCAGGAGACTAAGCTGGTGAAGTAGATATTGAGAGGAAGGAGGAGTGTCTTTCCCTCCAGTTACTTTATTGTGTCTTTCTAGCTTGTGTTGGTGATTCATCTGAATGGAGGGAGCTTAATGTATTTTAGATGAAACATTTTCTGTCAATAATGCCAAAATACTCTTGATACTGTCAGAGTACCATGAAATACTTCGTTTTCACAAAGATGGATCCATGTTTGTCTGCAGCCTTTCTAATAGCCAACAATGATAATTCCTGTCTGCCAAATCAGTATGCACTACATCAGACAACCTTCATGTAGAAGTCTTCTGAACTAAGGCCTTCTGCACTATGTTTGGTTTTGAGTCTCTTATCTTTCCCTTTTGTCCCAAAGCACAAAAGATGAAAAGAAAATAGCATGAGACTTTCTAGAGAGATCTCATAAGAAAGGCTCAAGTTAACAAACCTTTAAAATCAGGAAGCTATAGTACAGCCACAAAAACACACACACATCCTCACAAAGAAGACAAAGCAAATGCCCATTTTAAATATGTTCTTTTAAGTGCACTATTGAAAGAGGTCTCCTGTGCTTTATGAGCAGCCAGAAGGTGTTGCTGGAAAGGCATCAGCTGATTAACTAGCATTCAGGTTGGTATTCCAGCATGTCCTACAGTCTCTCTCTCAGTTGCTTAGTCAGATGGCAGTCTATTTTTACAGACTTGCTTGGTTTGTTGCCAAATGGGATAAAGGGACTCATCTGACTGACAGGAAAGCTTAAATTTTTCCAAGCCTGTCAGGAAAGAAATCTTGTAGTAAGGGGAAAGCTTGCACTATGCCATTTGCCAAAGACAGGACTGACAGGAGGTAAGACTATTAAATAAATGGATCAGCTTTCCTTACTCAGAAGCTGTGCAGGAATGATACGCCATCTGCTCTCCTGATTGTCCTTAAAGGATAAATGAAAATTGAAGAGAAGTTTGGCCAGGTTTTCTCCTTCATTCTTTCTAATGAGCCCTTGTGCTGCTAGTTCAGCATGCAATTTTAATTTAAGACAACTGTTACTCCTTATGCCAGGTGACAGCTTGCAAAGACCCTGACACTGTGGTTAGTGAGACACAAGGAGAACCATGTAAATGCAGAGAATTCTACATGTAATTTGGAGGAGAGGTAATATATGTTTAACAGGTTATACGATCTTTCATGAATCTTTATTTGTCCTGCACTATTGGGGTTTGAGGTGTTTCACTGCTTTACTTTTCTGTTTATTTTTGGCCAGATTTAATGGCTTTTGTTGGGTTTTAGTTTTGCTCTTTTACCAATATTAATTTGTACAGCTTCTGTGTGAACTTTCCTCAGATGCTTAATGGACCTCTTCAGCACCCAAATGAGGCACTAATATAATCCTTGTCTAATTATTAGGGGAGAACAATTAATAGATTGAGGAAAAGGCATACAGATAAATATAATTTGGCCTACCATTAACCTGAGAAGGCTGAGTACTTCCCTTGGTTCTGTGGTAGAGGAAGTAGGTGCTCCAGATTTCCAGATATTTAGTAACTTAGCAGCTTGCTCAGAACAACACAGAAACCCTGTGACAGCTAGGAATATGGCCCAGAGCAGAGGAAACTGAATGTGATTCTGTAAACTAAATGTACAAGGCCAGACATAATTTCAGAATATAAGAATGGCGTGTTTATAACTATATAAAAAACTGGAAATGGGATCCTCTTCTCTCTGTTACTAAAAGGAAGTTAAATTTCCTTTTCTTACTTTTGTAAGTTGGGTTTGGTGGGATTTTTTAAGTTAGCAGCACTTATTTGATACATCTGTTGGGTAGATTTCCTATTGGGAAACCATGTCTGTGGGGTTGGGAAATCACCCCAGTCACCCCAATCATGAAAAGTGTTTCAAAAAGGAAGATGGGGAAATCTCCACAGAGAGCTGTGGACAAGAGTTTTCTATTGGAGGTGGTACAGAGTGGGACAGCAAAGGGTGGTGGCACTAAATGGGCTGGATGGCAGCACAGTAAAGCAGTACAGTGTAAGACAAGGTAAATATGTTCCTGGAGGCAGAGGATGAGTCCTGGTAGAGCTTCCAGGCTTATGAGGATGACTGATCAGTGAAGGAAGTGTAACTGAAGCTACTGCTTAGGGTAACTATCTAAATAGTGCTACACTGAATAGCTGTGAGGAAATGTGATGAGTGTAGAAAGCCAGTGGTGATGGGGCTGAAAGAAAAAATATCAAGCTATTGAGAGAGACCAGATTTTATAGGTATTACAAAGAAAGAAATAGCAGGCACAGGCTGGAGATGAGACACACACAAAAAATGCTGTGGTCAGTGTCACAAGTGTGATATCTTTACAGAGGAAGAATCCAAGATTGTTTTTGACCACATTGTGTTTAAAACCATTACAGAATGCCTGGAAAAAATAAAAAGTGAAACTCTGGCCAGGATCCAGGAGCTGACAAAAGATGGATCAAAACCTATTTTCTTTGTGAGCAGTTTGTGAAATTCACATTTGAGTAGTGTAAGTACGCACAGTTTTTGAGGGAAGAAGCCACCTTAGGATCTAACAGAGTTAAGAATGTGAAAAAACTTCTAGCAGAATATGCATGCATTAACTTTCAAGAGCTTTGTTCCCTTTGGCACTGGTTTCCATCTTTGTTTCAGAGAACAGGACAGTGCAAACTTGCTGGCTGGGATAGCTCTGGGTGTGTACAAAGTCATGATTTTTTATGGGTATTACACAGATATGCTGATTTTTATGCTAAATAAACCCAGTCTCATGTATTTCTGTACCCTGAGGCTCATCTCTATCACAGTATCCATGTACAGAATGTAAAGCAGAACTGCCAAAGGCAGATGAGGGGAAATGGTGATGGCTGAAGCAGTATGTCATTTTGGTGTGGTCAGTTCAGTCAGGGTGTAAATGAGGACAAGGATGAAGTCCACATACATGCTCATGCTGAAAGGTATTGCTGTCAGATGCCTTCAAGAGTGGCCATCACATTTCCCTTTTGGAAGTGAAGCTGTTCCATTGTAGAAAGCTGGGGGGAATAGTATTTAGGTTTGAGGACTCCAAGTGGAAGTGAGCCCAGAATCCAAGCAACGCCTCCAGAGCCTCTCTGTGTTTAAATGCCTGAGTACTTCTCATTTGTTGTCTAGTTCTTTTAAGTTCACTGTCAGGTCACAGGATCTTGTTAAATGTCTTTGTATGCAAAGTTCTCCAGTCTCAGACAGCTTGTTTTATTACAGGTGAATAACAAGACAGACATATTTTAGTCCTTATTTTCAATTATTAGCTCATGATAATTACAATATTGGGGCATAACAATCTGATCAAGGAAAGGCAACTGGATATAAGGGAATACAAAATATTGTTTAAAATTGAGACACCTGAGATAGCACATGAGAAATTCAGCAGCCATTTAGTGTGTAACACACCTTCAAGTCCCACTTTATGACAGGAGAAAAATAAATATTATACTACATTATACCCATACTATAAGAAATGCAGCTAAGGAGTGGGAGAAGTTGAGAAAATTAAAGGAGCAAAAAATAAGAAACTAAAAGAGAAACTGGGGTGCGGAAAATGGTAAGAGATAATATAGTCTTAGCACACACCCCTTTTTTTTTCTGAGTGTTTTCTGGTACATCTAATAACATTGAAGTCTGCTGCAGTAGTTGTGTGTCATTTTTTTTAAAAAATCTGCGTTTGATATTTTATTTTACCTATTTATTTATTCGCTTGGAGATGGAGCTAAAAGAGTTAACAAGGCACAGCAGGCTCAGCAGGTTCCACAGGCTGAGTCCTGACAGTGAGGAAGCTTGCTGATTACAAAGTTAGAGGCAATTTTCCTTGTATATTACTGCAAATGTAAATCCAAAAGTGACTAGCACCAAGGTGTGCACTCTGAGTTTAGGCTCACCCAGAAGAAAGTAACTGCATGCATGGTTATGATGATGTATGCTCCAACATGGACCACAAGGCTTCAGAGCATTTACTGCAGAAGCCTTTGCAATGTGCAGATGCACCAATCATGAATTAATTTCTCTGGCTTTTGGAAAGCATGGTCCTAGAGGAGCTGCAAATTGTGGCAAGCCACTGCTAGCTTAGACTCTGTGAACTGGACACCTTACCAAACCTCTTGGGATCTTTGCTCTGGTTTTACACAGCATCCAATAAGACACCCAGTTTGCTTTGCAAATGCCACTGCACTCTGGTTTGAGCTGGTTTTGTGGGGATGGCAGAGAGTCTCTGGTACCTCCTGTCCTTCTGGTTTACCATTTGTTAGAACAGCGCAAGCTTCTGTTGAAGTTTTGTGGTCCATTTCAAAGCAAACTTTGCCCCTTTATCACTTTTCTAGGACTCCATTTAATTTCAGCCAGCTTGTAATTGTATTTAAACCTGTGTCAGATGGTTGCTTTTCCATTCTGGTTTTGTATTTATGTTATTGTTGTTGTTTTCCTGGTGGAAAACTTGCTAGAGCAGTGCACGAGCTGACAGAGAGCCTTAAAGAAGGTGTTTTGATGGGAGACAGGAATATGTGAAAGCAAGGTTCAAATAAAGCAGTCTTTCCTTCTGTCTGTGCCACAAATACATAGAAGAATCTGAAGGACAAAGGCTGTGGATTGAAATCTTAAATGGAAAAGTGTCAAGAAAATCCTAAACTGGGCTGTCTTTCTAGCAGGCCATGCAGATATGGCAGGCATCTGGGCCCGTGACTTTCTGGCCCTTGAAATTCTTGAGTAACTCTTCATGCATTGTGCTTCATTTTTAGAAGAGTACCCCTTGAAACTTTGCACATTCTTTCAGCCAGGAATTCCACTGTGGTTCAGCAGCTGTATAATTAATAGCATGATAGAGCTGGAAGGGAGAAGTCATTACAGAGACTGAGGTGCACACTGTGTTTAAACTACAGCCTGGAGCTTGGTCACTTTGAAGTAATGCAGACTGTTCTCTGTTGTACAGGGCTACTTTTGGCTCCAAATATTTGGCGACTAAGTAGTTATTGATTCTTTATTTTAATATTATTTTTCTCAGAATAAGGATAAAAGCCCAAAGATACCTGGAAAAGTTTAGCAGATGCATGAAAATGTTCCCTGGGGAGCCCTGCCAGACAGTGTATCCAGACACAGGTGGTCAGACTAGGGAGCTGGTGTGACTGGAATATGAAAAGACATAATATGATTTGTAAGATGGTGTTTCTGGCAGATCTCAATCCCTTTTAGCTATTTCTAGCTTTGTCTTACTTGGTGTGTGTTAATCATCCCAATAAAACAGGCAAAGGAGAAAGAATAGAAAGTCTCTTGTTTGCATTGTCATGCCTTTGATCAGTAAAGTGTATATGGGGTAATGAAATAAGAACCCTTATTGGGGTTTTTTTTTATTAAGAGGCTACAAAACAACAGGTGCAGATTTGCCAAGGAAACTTAAGGGATTTCTCTGATGCGATTTGTATTCCTGGATCTTACATGATGTGAAAGTAGCGTGCATTCAGCCTCAGCCAAAAACACACTACTTGCTCTGGGATAAAAATCGAGCTTTAAAGAAGGCAAGCAAATGGTCTTTTGACTATCCCAGTTTCAAGTTATTCAGAGAAGCTCCCATATGCCACTAAGAAAGATTAGATATATTAAACATCTAGTAACTTCTCCTGTATATAAAGTGATTTCCACATTTCCAAGTGATAAGTGAACAGGAAATTCAGAGGTCATTTATGTACCTGTTGCTATTAATTTAAAAACTGATAGTAACTGCTTGCATGTTTCCTACACTATTAATGATAATAGTTCTTTTAGCAAAAAACCTTTCTAACTCATAGGGAGAAATTGGAGCATGAGAGAGCAAATCTATTAACAAACCAGGTAAATCAAACTTGGATGGTACTCTTGAATAAAAATGCATAATGTTCAAAAGAACTCATGGAGGCGTGGAAGCTGATTACTTCAGGCTTCCTTGTTATGGGTGATATGAGAACTGCTAAATGTGAATCATGGTAAAGTAGCATTGCTATAGCCGCAATGATTTAAGAAGCTAGATAAAGCTTTTAGGAAAGGAGAATATTGTTACACCTACTGCTTTAGGGCATTATGATGGAGGAAATATAGATGAGATTTTGGGTTGAAAACCATAAATCATCCTCTTCCCTAATAAAGAGAATAAAATATGGTCATATTTTAATTTCTGATATCGGATTGGTAGTATTATTTGGCATTCAGCTGTCCTCACTTCTCAGGTAGATAGACCAGTTCTACTGGAGGGGGAGAAGAGTGTTCTACCCCTCTTTGATCTGTCTACTGAGAAAGTCAACTGGACTTGCAGTTATGGTGGTGGATTTTGTGTATGTGAGATATAAACACCTGCGTATTTTCCATAAAGTAATAAGTCACCAGATGGTAAAGGTTTTTATCCATGCTGCTCTAGCTGGATTTGTACCAGTAAATTGGAGGTGAAAGGTACCATATGCTACTGTAAATCCCCAAAGTATTCATTATTCCTAAAATAATTTTCCACGCCTTTTAGTGCTGACATCTCCCTTTTATTAACATCCATACTTATTTATGTGGATAATGTTCAGATAAAATGTAACTTTGAGTACATGGGGTTTTGTGTGAGTGCTCATGAGATACAGTGCCAACTAGAAAATCAGTTGTCCTCGGATAGTGATTTGGTGGCTTATCATTGCAGTCTCCAGTGGCTATGGACTGTCACTAGCAGCCTCAGCAGAGAGGCAAACTGCAGATAAGTGTGATAACTTGGGAAGTGATATGTGTTTGGGTGGAAAATAGCTAATTATTACTGCCAAAAATGTTTTGCTGTGAGCTGCAGTGCTTACTGTCACTGCTGGCAAGGATCTACTAGACTGGGATGAGACTGTTCTGAGGTTCTGGGAGCAGAGCTTATTGAAGATACAGTTAAAGATTGGACCTTGGTGACTCTGTGGGTAGATGGCAGTTTTGGAGGGAGGTGTGAAGGAAAGGATTTGTGTTGAAGGAGTTTACCTAGATCAGAATTTTTCAAGATTGGGTCATGATCAATTCTGGGACAACTCTCAGGGATTTATTCAATGGCTGAATGTTCTTCAGCCTACTAAGTGTCCAGGGTGATGTTCAGCCAACTTTCTGCAAAAAGCACCCTGACTACAACACAGTGCCTCTAGAAACACCTTGTGGCAGATTTCTCAGTAATGTGTCAATATCTGAGTAAACAGGTTGCTTTTTGAAAATTATAGGCATAAGATAATCCAGCATGGTTTAAAGAAATAATTTCTAAGTAAAAAAAAAAAACAAAAAAGCAAATAAAATGTCAAACCTTATGCTGACAGTTGGAATAGGACTGCATTTATTCAGTCTTCCTTTAAGAAGCAAAAACTGTACCAGTAGTTGATGTCTTCTGCAGAGGAGTCTGTCATGAAACCACATTCCATAATAAGCTATGAGGTGAACTGTCAGATCCTGAAACCGAAGAACACTTTTCTCTTTGTGGTTCTGTCTGCTCAGGAGACACTGGAAAATGTCTGTTTGACAGCTGCAGTGTTTCCACCCTTGGCAGTGAGCAGTGCCCAGCACCCTTCCAGCCTCTGCCATTTGGAGAACCAGTACAGCACTGTGTGTGCCAGATGTGAGTACCCACCAGAGCCAGGGCACCCCTTCTTGGCCAAAATGAACTGCCCTGTCATTACTGGGGAGAGAGCTTGGCCTCCCTACCCAAGGGAAGGTGTGGATAGGGGTCATGCTGAGAGGACAGCTGCTGTCAGTGCAGGTGAAATGACCAGGGTCATGTGGGCTGCCCCATGGGATGATCCTTTCCAGGCCAACAGTTGCCAGCTGCAGCCAACCTGCTTTTCCAGAGCCATTTCTGATCAAGGCAGCAGATCAGCACTGATCAAACCATCACTTGTATGTTCTGTGAGGTCCCCTGGTCTGGAAGCAACCTGAGCAACCTCACAGTCCATGTAGAATAGCTTACCCAGGAGGGCAAGTTAGCCTTCACTGAACTTCAATCTGTGCTACCCTGGACGGGATCTGTATCCCTAGACCACTGCCCTGAACCCAAGCTAAGCTGGCAATCTTCCCTCTAGTATGTTTATGGTCTCCATATTTTATGGCAACTTCACTGAGCTGACGCTTGGTAGGCTGTAGTTGCCTTGGTCTTCTTGCTGATGCTCAGGAGAATCGTGTTTGTCCATAATGTATTTTGAAAGCAGCTGCAAATGAGATTTAATCAGTTGGAATCATCCAAAAATCTTTTAACTAGAGTAGGTTGACATCAGTTCTTTGTCCTGCCCTTGGAAAGACCCTATAAACACAGGTGGATGAGACTTCTTTCCGTTCCTACAGTTTCACATAAACTTGTATCTGAGCTCTTGTTGCTGACTCAGACTGCAGCTTTGTCTTTTCTCTGTTTTTCTTTCCATCTTTTGCTCCTTCCTCCCAGCCTCAAAAGCACTCCAAAGTGGGATCCAATTGATATGGATGTAGAGCAGTTAGTATTGCTGTTGCTAGTGGGCTGGGCTTCTTCCTTAATTTGAACCAAGTTTTGATTAGGCCTTTCCAAGCTTAAGCTCTTTGATACTAAGTAGAGGGAAGAAAGCTCAGAGTGGCAGGGTTTTGAGGCAAGCACCCTGGAGATCAGCAGATGTCCTGAAATGATCAAATAATCCCAGATGTATGAGACAGCTGATGGTCTTATAAAATGCAGCTGAAGTAATGGCATTTTGCTGTACCAGTTCTGTTTTTCAGCATTAATTTTCAGTGGGGTCTTGTGTGATCTTTCATTTAAAGCTGGATAAATACTTCTGATTTTCAGATTTGGTCCCTGAATGCATCCTCTAATGACTGATCTTTGCTAAATTTGAGATTTCCCTTTTCCCAGAGTAGAATGGGGACAGTGCACAACCATTGTATGTCAGGAGGCTTAGTTAACTAGAGCTGGTTTAAGAAATGTTCATGAGAAGTTCACATGAGTGTTGGAGAATTCTCATCTTTGGTTTTCTATATTACAGAGCTGAACAGCTCTCCTGTTTTTGTTGGGTTGCAAGGTTTTTCCTCCATGACCAAGTTTTTCCTGTTATAAAATCACCTGGTTTTTACACACAAGTAATTAAAGAGTGGGAAGTTTTGTTAAGTGCTTCTGAAACATACTGGTCATCACAGCTAATCAGGTTTTTAAGTGATTACAAGGGGTGCTGCAGTGCTCCATCTGGAGAGAAACAGTGCACAGCTCACAAGTTTGTTCACAGACAGCTGAGAATACCTGATACAAGACAGTTCTTGAATAGGTGCTGAGCAGTGAAGCTGCAGAACCTCTGCTCTACTGGGTCATGCACATCCCTCACTAATATTTCAGAAGCAAAATTTTCCATGTAACCTTCAAGGATAGATGCACACAGCATACTTAAACCTTCCTCCCTGCTCATCTCTGTGTGCATAGCAGGCTGCAGAGGGCCTGACTAGGCAAAATTCTCAGAGTTCTGCCCTCCCCTTTGCAAAGCAATATTAAGGATAATTACATAAAAGCTTAACTTGACTAGAAGGTTTATCAAATCATAGTAGCTGTGGGGCATTTCTCCTTTTCTTAATATAGGGAAAAAACCTTTAAAATATGACCTCTTAATTTACTTTGTTTTTCCTGACATGACTTTATTCCATCTTTCCAGGCTAAATGATTCTGTTTTTGAGACTGGTTTGGTCTACTGCAAACTGTGGACTGGTTCTCTTACCAGGAGCTTCTATTTCCTTTCTTTTCTTGGCAGATAAGTGAAAAGCTCTCATGTGCTTTGCTCTTTGGAAAATGTCTGTGGTGGCATCAATGTTCTTAGAGGTAATCCCAAAGTATTTACTGTCCACCTTACTCTGAAGTCACATGCCCACTGCTTCTGCTTTTGTTAGCTCGGTGTATTCCATGTTGCATTAGGCATGTCCCATCAGGAGCTATCTGCATAATGCTAATGATTTAAGGGTCAATTTCTGTGTTTGTGAGGCTCCCATTCACATTCCCTACCAGCCCTGGGAGGACATTCCAGTGTGGGATCGTTTTTGAAACTTGATAGGTTTTTTTAACAGATATTCGCATGCTGACTTTATAAATATTGCTGTGGTGGAAAGAGCAAAGTGAGAATTCGACATGGAAGAGTTCTGTAGACCACACTGCCTTCCCACCATGGCTGTGGGTTTGTCTCCATGCCTAACGGGGGCAGGTAAAAAGCAAACACTAAAAATAAGCGCGGGAAGGTTTTGTTGATTTTTGTTGCCGTTGTTGTTGTTTCTGGTTGTTTCGGTTTAATTTTTTAATCAAAACGTTAAATAATAATAATAACTTTAAATAATAATAAATAATAAAAGAAAAAAAAAGGAAAAAGGAAAAGCTGTGCAGCAGTCTCTGGTTTACTGGAGGACTATATAAAGCATTCTTTTGGATCAAAGCATTTTGATCTTTCCATGTGAAACTAGGGATGGGAAGAAAAGCCACTGCCTTACTGAGCAGATGATGGGATCTACAAACAGTCAAGTGCAGTTACCTGTAGGTCACAGTAGGAAACAAGTCTTGTGCTGCTGCTGGAAGTGTTCTGCATCCCCCTCCCTTTCTGAGACAAGTGATCATACAATCGCTGTGTAATCTTTAGGTGGGGCTGAGTGAATTTCCTCATAGCTGTCTCCCATGAGTAGATGGAAATCTTTCACACTTCAGATTGCTTGTAAGCTCACCTCTGAAAATATATCTCTTCACTTGCTCTCTTTTATCCAGCCACAAGCCTGTGCTACCACATAAAGTTTTGATGTATAGATATATCCTTTATTGCTCCCATTTTAATTTCTGTTCAAGCTATGTCAATCTTTCCAGAAAGGCATGGTTTCCCCATCTGGTAATCAGCTGTGGAGATGAAACTGCAAGCCTAATTAACACCAACTCTAATTTGTGCTTAATAGATCTTTGAACAACATTTAAAACTCCAATGACTCAAGACAGCCATATTTTGTTGGTTTAGTTGTATAAATGAGAGCTGGGGGAAATGTCTCCTTCTAAAAGGTCAGGCTTTAAGTGTAATTTACTCCAACTTAATATATTTAGCACAGAAACAAAGTCCTTAGATATGCTGATGGTAGAATTGATTTTTAAATAATATAAATTGGCATCTTGTCATTGTGATATTTTCTAAAAATTCTCTTTGCCCAGGATTCTTCTCCTGGGAAGCTGAGAGGCCTCAGAGAAAAAGATAAACAATAATTATCTGATTTGCTTCTCCTGTTTTGCTGCTTTGGAATGTGGTAGGTGATTGTTTCATTGGTTTCATATGAATTGTTTTTACTTAATGATTTCTCACAGTCCAGCTCTGTTGGGACTCTAGAGAGTCATGAGTTTTCATTACCATTCCTTCTAGCCTTCTGTCTGTATCCTTTCTCTATAGTTTAGTATAGTTTTAGTATAGCATTCTTTAATATAATATATCATAATATAATAAATTAGCCTTTTAAGAACATGGAGTCAGATTCACTGGTCTCTCACCTCGTCCTGGGGACCCACGCAAACTCAACAGCATCTGTCTCACAAAATACTAGTATTGAGAGTATTTCTCATCCTGAAACAAATAAGAGTTGAAATCTACTTTTATGTTTAACTGGAAACACAGGAAAACTAAAGGAATGGGCTCAGAACAGCTGTAGCACCTCAGGCAAGTGACATTTCAGTCCTGCAACCTGCTGCCATCCTCCAAGCAGAGCTGCCTGCACTGCTCAGTGTGGTGGGTGACCCAGCAAGGAGGGTGAGTAGCAGCACAAACAAGAGTCAAAGAGGACAGGAACTCAACAAAAATTCCTGGGGGTCATTAATAATGTAGAATAGGAGAGCTAATTTGTGGTAAATATGGCAAAACCAAAACTTTCCCACTTGGTCTGACAAATGAAAAAAAAATCCTGGCACAGGAATAGCTTTGGAATTTTTTTCCAGTTATGAAACCAAAGCAAATGGATCAATGTTATATAGAAGATTATGCATTTGTTCCCAAACTGCATCAAGTAGCAGAAGGATAAGACAGAAATGCTGCTGGTGTTGTAGTACTCTTCAAATAAACCAAACACCACAAAAAGCCCTGTGAGTTTTTTACTAATATTTAAAACAGTAATGATGCCTGACCCATTTCCTATGCTGTATAGAGTCAGTCTGTGTCTGTCCTATGATGCTTACAGATAGACAAATAAATTGGTATTGATGAATATTTTTGTTTTGTTTTACAGGATGAGATGACTGTTCCTATGCTGGAGCTCTAGCACCTTTGTGTGCCTCTCTTCACAGAATCCATGGGGAAGAGGGCTCAAAGTCTTCTCATATTCCTGCAGCCCTTTAGAATAAGGACCAATTCCAGCAGGCCTGATGAGAAATGTGAATGAAAACCTTGATTATTAAAGGCTTTTTCCATTCTAACATTTAAGCTGTAAGTTCTTAAAACCTGAAAAGTTTATTCATGCCCTTCCTTGGTCTCGAGGAGATAGGAGAAGCTGTAGTTTCAGCTGTATCTGAGAACCTGAAAAAGCCTTTTTTTCTGGAACTAAACTGTTATTCGCAGTACATGGAGCTCACAGTCTGGGGCTTCATGGAATAGAGACTCAATTACTTGGTATCTTTTAGCTTCTTGCTGGGAAAGGCTCCGTGCTCTGCGAAAAAGCAAATACTGCTTCCTGAAAGGCTTGTGTGCTAGACTTGCAGCTCTGAACACTTGTTTGCTGTTAGAATTTCGGGCCCTGGTAGAATTCTGCCACTGTGGATTAGTGCCTTGAGGTTTAGAAATGAGGCCTTGAGAGATCCAGCCTGGGCTGCTGCATGTTTGAGATCCTCTGTTAAAGGGGCAGCTGGTAGCATCCTGGGGGACCTCATTTTCTCCAGTGTTTCCAGCCTTGAGGGGAGCCACAGATGCTGATAGACCTGTCAGCATTTAGTAAACAATACCTGCTTTTTTCATGCTCTTAAATTAAGCCAAGTCATTCAAACCTGCACTTTTTACTTTATCAAGTGAAAAAGTGCATGCTAACTGATAATAGATTGATAGACTTGTACACAGAGCTGGTTGGGTGGTGGTTGGCTTTTTTGTTGTTTTGGGGGTTTGGGGGTTTTTCTGTTTCTTTTGTTAGGATATTTAGAGTTCTTTATCTTTGCCTTGGATTGGGAAAGTACCAAAGAAAATCAATCATTCATTAAGTTCTTGGCTTTTTGATTAGGGATGGAACATCTTCAAAAGAGTTTAACTGAAAACAAACACCCAGGAATGTGCTTTCCAGCACAAATTTTCAGTCTATAACCTTGCTACTGTTAATGAACTATATTTGGCACTTTTTTTTAGCAAAGGAGTTTAACAGCTTAGCTAACTCTGTAAAACAATTTTCTGATCCTACACACACACAAATGCTCATGGCTAAGACACCTTCTCCATGTCAAACTCATAGTCTCTACATGAATGTTATAGAAAAAATATTTTGGAAATAATTTTTTATTGTAGTGAAAACATATCATCATGTTCATACGTATACACACATACACAAATAAAATATCACTGTGTATTCACTGAAGCACCTCACACTCAGTGTAACCAAACCTCATCTCAGCTTGTGCACAGCAGAATACCTTGAAAACCTGTGATCCCAGCTGCCATCCACTGCTGCACCCAGCAGGAGCAGCACCAAATCTCCCAGGGCTGGCAGCTGAGCTGCACAGAAACACATCCCAAGCTGCTGCCCACCCTGAGCCCAGCAATCCTCTGCTCTGATCACAGCCCCCGGTGTTATGGGATGGCTCAGCCATGCTGCTGCAGGGCCATGAGGAGTGGGCTGTGCCTCAAAGTCTGGACCAGCTGCTCTGACAGCCCGTGGGCCTCTGTCTCATAACGTCTGGTCACAATGTTCAGCAGCACCATAATATTTCCTGCTGTCTGGCATTATTTGGCTTTCAGTGCTTTATATAAGCATTTCTTTGACAGATGTGTGGTTCTGATACCCATCCCCTGCCACTCAAGGCAAGAAGGTACCACACAAGTGATCCAGTGAGGTTCTCCAGGACGTGCAGAAAAATTGCATTGAAATATTCTGTTGTTTAGCTAAGCTGCTTAAAGACAACCAAGTAATTCTCACTGTCACTTAACTCTAGAAAGTATCAGGTGGCTGTTGGCACATGGGGGCCGAGAACTACAGATGTAAAAATAAATCACTTGGCCTTTTTTGCTAGCACAAGCTAATGTGATTGTAATTGATGCCCTAACCCTGACAGCTGTGTTAATGACTTAAACAAGAGACCTTGGGTGACTGAACAGAGCCCGCACACAGCTTAACATATAGTCAGAATTTTCTTCATAACTTGAAGGTAAAATTCCATTTCTTTACTTGGAAGTCTCCCTCTCAATTCAGCTATTTCAAAACGCTTTAGGCTTCTTCTGTTTAAGGGATTCTATGCTGATTTCCAATAAACTAAGAATAATTTCAGTTTTTCCCTTCCCCGCAGGAAAGTGCTGATATCTACCAAATGTACAAGGACTGAAGTACCTGATTTTGAAATGGAACTCATGGCAGGCTACTGCCCAATACAGTAATTTCAAATATTAGTTGGCTGAATTCAACACTGAATAAACACTAAATATAATATAGATATAAAAGAATGGGCACAAATGCCAGCATAGTATTTCATTATTAAAACTAGTCATCATTCTATTTCAACAACTAAATCCATTATGAAAACAAGCTGGGAAGGAAACACACAACAAAGAAATAATGCAATTAACTTACAAAATATGAAACAAAATGTCTACATACAAAAAAAAGTAAAAATCAATGTTAGTCACTTAAGCTTCACAGAACATTTGTACAATAGAAGCCCTTCTGTGCCCCAGCTTGTGTGTCTGCCAGAATGAGCTGGAGAACCACCCATCCTGGCTTTAAAGACACTGCAGTGTGCTGCAGAAGCACTGTCCACCCTGGCCAAGGCTCCCTGTATTCCAGGGAGAGCCCTCAGGGGACTGCAGGCTTGGTGCTATCCTCTGCTTTGCTAATGCCAGGTAGCAAAATGTACATCAGGCATCTGTACAGAAGAAAAACTTTTCCAATGAGGTTTTGTGTCTGCTTTAAAATTTTGTGAATGCTTTAAAATAATGCTAATAACTCTAGCACAATAGTTCTCCCATACAACTCATTCATTTGCAAATCAAATATTTCCTTCTGCTAGTGTTTTATGCCCATAAGATTTCCACTGGAAGCTCCAGTGAGGGGATAAAATGCCAGGCAGGGATTTTCAATGTGCATTTTATTTTGATTGTGCATGTGTCTTTTCTTATCCGAGGAGATTTTTTTTTTACCTTTGTATACATAATCTTTCAATGTCCATTTTGAAGTTAAAGAGAAATGAACTTTCATAACCTCTGCCACTTCTGATTACCTCTTAAAAGTGTCAGTTTACATGGAAAAGCCAGAAGAAATTGAGATTAACAGACATCTGGACATTTTAACCATTCATTTAGAAAACATCTGTATCCATTCATGCAATGTTAAGACTATAAGTAACTTTGCAGTTACATCTGAGCCTGTTGCTGGGGCAGCAAGGTAGCGTTTATCTCCCACGTGTATTCTATCAATTTCTTTTTTTCTTAAAGCAGCTTCCTAAAATGAAAAACAGAAAAGCAGTGGTTAAGTTCATCTCTTTCAAGCACTGGATTCAAGGCTTATACAAGGCAGCCCTTACTGTTTCCAGCTGTGGAAAATCTAGATGCTGATCCTTTTCAAGATGAAAAAATTAACTACTGACATGGAAAAATGGGAACTGCTGTTCCTTTCAATTAAAACAAAATATTGCTGAAGATCTGGGAACATGAGATTTTGCTCCTGTATATATTTTTAATAGGATGCCAAGGAATTGTACTACAGTATTGTTCAAAGTAACCCAGCAAGTTGTGCTTTGCTGCTTCCTACAGCAGGAATAGAGTTCATGCTAACAATTCAGTCTTTGAGGACCCTCCTTGTGCTTAGCTTTCATCAAAGCACACAGCTCAGATTGATTAATTGTTTGCAATTGTAAAGTTTCTGTTACAGCCGGTGCCCACCATACCAGACAGGACTATACCAATGATCTGTCTGGTGCTGGTCAGTTGCCAAATCTTGAGAACTCAAGACAAACTAGCATTTTTGTTTTGGCTTTTTAAAATTTCTGGTTTTAACCAAAGCACTGGGCAATGGGAATTACGCCAGAAGAATTAATAAGATTCTATCTGTGCTTTTAAGGACCTGAATTGAGGTCAGAGCTCTGACACCCATTAACTCTGGGATTCCTCTCCACAGCTTTTTTTTTTTTTTTTTTTTTTTCCCCTGGGACTGTTGGGATTATTAAATACTGTAAAAGGGTTGAACCTCTTCAAAAATAATGCTTAAGTCTTTGCCTCTAGTGTCCTAGCATTTCTAGAACCTTAAAATATAATACAGTAATGTAAAGGCCACAGAACAAAATATCAAAGGAATTCATTATCCAGACAAGATATTTCACTCACATTTGATGCTGCCTAACAAACTCTGCAAACTGGCGGTCTTTAGCGTAGAGCTCTATAATTCGAATCCTGTCCTGAATTTCCTAGAATACAATAAACAGAATTGTAAGTACATAATAGAAATCAGAATGCTACTGAAATAACCGATTTCTGGGTTTGGGGAAATAAAGCTCCTGTGTGTTGCTATTTCAAAGAGTGGAGCTTGAAATTGGGCACTCCAATGCTAAAATTCTTTTTTATTTTATTTATTTTAATTTTTCTAAATGAAAAAAAAAATAAGTGAAGCACTTCATTTTACTTCAGTAATACTTCACTTTCAAATAAAAACCAGGATTTGGACAGAGTGTAGCATTTCAATAGGCTTTCACAAAACTATTTATCTCTCACAGATATTTTGCCTACCAGCTACATACTGGATTCATGCCTCTCACAGTTGCTTAAGCATCTGTGGTTAGTTCTGGGATGCAAATCCCTTCTCTTTAGCCTTCTACAGTAACCCTTGGATACTGTGTATACAGGAAGAAATATGATGTGATCTAACTTGCAGGTTATAGAAAGACTTTAACTTTAAAAACAATCAGAAAACACCCAAAAAAAAAGCTCTCTGTGAAAGGGCCTGGATGTACCAGTTTTTCACTGTGCAACTACTCTTATGTAAGAGAGTTGGCTTTAAAAGGTAAATGTTGTGTCGAGTAATACATCAAACCTCCCCAAATCCCATGAAGTTACCTAAGGGGTCAGCTCCTGTATTATGTCAAATTCATTACTGGTCAGGACAAAACCATAATTTTCTCTAAAAGCAAGCAGGGAAAGCAAGCTTTTCTGTCTTCTTTTAAATAGTTGCAGCAGCAGCAACCTGATTATCTGGAGCATAGACACCGGGGAAAGATCGGGCCCAC